CCACAAGGCCTTAAAAATAAAAATATGGCCAGGCTTGGTGGTGTTTCATAGGCACAGGCAACAGACCAGGAGTTTAAGTCAGCCTAGGGCTAGAAGAGACTTCTTTCCCCCCCCAAAAAATAGCTAAGGAGATGGCTTCATAGACAAAAGTGCTTGTTCTGCATGAGGACGTGAATTCAAAACCTACTGGGTAGCAGCGCCTACTGGGTAGCAGCAACGAAAGCCTTTGATCCCAGCACTCAGAAGCAAAGGCAGGAAGATCACTAAGTGCAAGGCCAGCCTGGTCTACAGAGCAAGTTACAGATAGCCCGGGCTACACAGAGAAACCCTGTCTAGAAAAACAAAAACAAACAAATAAACAACAACAAAACCAGCACCCATGTAAAAAGCAAGGTCACTACCGATGCCTGTGACCTCAACACTGGGGACAGGGACAGGCAAATCCCAGGAGCTCACCAGCCTAGCTACAAAGTGAGCTTCAAGCTCAGTGAGAGACTTTACCTAAAGAAGTAAGGTGGAGACAAGAACATCTGTCTTTTCTGGCCTCTGATCACACACACACAACACTGAGGCTGCTGGGACATGGCTCACTGTCAGAGCCTTTACCTGGGTCGGATCCCCAGACCTGGGTTTGCCCAGCAGCCCCAGAAAAAGAAAAACAAAGAGTTCTATTTCCTTTTTCTTCCTGCATGTTTCTAATTTTTCTAAAATAAGCTATTTTAGTACCCAAAAAAAGTATTTTTAGATCTTAACATTCTTTTTTTCAATTTTCATTAAACAACTTAAGTACCCTGAGTCAACAGGCACAGTGACCTACGCCTATGACCCCAGCTCACAGACAGAAAGACTGCAAGTTCTAGGCCAGCCTGGGCTACCTAGCAGGACCCTGTCTAGATGGATCAACCAATCAACCAACAGATCCTTTGATCTCTTTTTTAAATTAAAAAGGTAAAGCTTGAGGGGGACCTTGGTGAATTCCATGGCAGGCACCTGTGACCGAGGTGGAGAGACAGAGATGCCAGGCAGACAGAGCTTAAGTGAGAAGTTTTGTTAGAAAGGGGAGGGAGGGGGAAGGAAAGAGGAAAGAGACAGAGAGACAGAGAGAGGACAGATGAGGAGAGGAAGGCAGGAAAAACCCTGTCTGTCCCCGGGGAACAGCAGGAAAGAGAGAGCCTGGAAGAGATCGGAAGTGGGCGGGGCCTTTCTTTTAAAGCAGTCCTTTGCACCTGCAAGCAGACTGAGCAATCATGGAACCCTGGGCTGACCAGAGTACTGCCTGAGTGCATTCTGCCAGGTGACAGGGGCAGGCCAGCATACTGCCTGAATCCTTACAATCTGTACAGCTGGCAGTCCGCCAGTTTAAATAAAGTTTGGGAGAGTCTCAAAAGAGAGATTTTACAACAGTCAACAATGAAAGCAGCAAATTAACCCCAAGAGGGAATAAAATGAGCTTAGCCTGCAGCAAAGGACTCTTCGAAGGGATGGGAGGAGGGGGTTGCTTTGTTCATTGCTTTGTTCTGCTTTGAACTGTGGGTGTGTAATATCTGTTTTTATTACACACATAGATTATTCTGTTTAGAGAATCTGCCAAGAGACCACAGCCATTCCTACTACTCAGCTTTTCCCCTTGGGACCAGGCAGGCTGTCACAAAAAAATATATATATATAATATATATATATATAATAAAAACAGGAAGCGGAGGAAAACTAACAAAGATATCCGTGCACACCATATGGGAATGGAGAGGGCTGAGCAACAACCTGGGCAGGTAAACTACCCCCATATCACGTGAACAGACCCTTTGGGTTACCCATTCTCTACACCCGCTTTACTAATGACAGCCCAGACTTGTGCTATCTCTAAGGCTAAATGGCTAAAGAATAACAACACATCAATCCATTGTTCTTTCCCTACTGCCTCTTCACGCCTCAGATTCCTGGCAATCGGTCTCCTTTCCCTTCAAAATACTGTTTCACTGACACTAACACCATGCTCCGGAGATGGGTTACCACTGCTGCCGTACTACAGTGCTGAGGTTCGTGCTGGCGTATAAATATTTATTCAGTCCTGTAAAAGGAGACAGGAGGCCTTTGTTTTCACACCAGGCATGCTCCAGTTAGCAAGTGGCACAGTGGTGCAATGTAGGAAACACCGTGCACGTCAAGTTTCCTGTGCCCAGCTTGATGCCTACGAACGCTGGAAAGGCAGTAAGCCTTTTTGAGATCCCTTGCAATAGAAGGAAAGCGTGGCACCCAGAGTCCCTTGCAATAAATAGAAGGAAAGCGTGGCACCCAGAGTCTGAAGGGAAAGTACAGGCATAGTAGAACCTGGGCCACATACCACAAAGTATCAACAAACATGACAGAAATGTGTCTGTTAGCCTATAGGTCTGTTAAGAAGACCAGTAGTGTAAGCCAGGCAGTGGTGGCCCACGCCTTTAGTACCAGGACTCGGGAGGCAGAGGCAGGCGAATTTCTGTGAGTTCAAGGCCCAGTCTGATCTACAGAGAGAGCTCCAGGACAAGCTCCAAAGCTACACAGAGAAACTCTGTCTCAAAAAAACAAACAAAAAGAGAGTAGTAGAAAAAGATAGATTTGGGGCACCAACATCATACAAGGAAATTTAAGATCTTTTCAAGAGAGTCCATACAATTCATGAAAGGGCCATTTAACTCCGGAGCTAAACTTCTGTTGCTGATGTTCTAAGGGACAAATGTTAAGAAAACTCCAAGCATACAAAACGTTAACCCAGCTGCTGCTGCTAGTGCATCCTTTATTCCCAGCACTTGGGAGACAGAGGCAGAGGCAGGTAGATCTCTAAGTTCAAGACCAGCCTGGTTTTCAGAGCGAATTCCAGGATAGCCAAGGCAACATAGAGAAATCCTGTCTAGAAAAAAAAGTAAATACAAACAGTTTCTGATCTAGATTGAATTTTTTTTTGAGGGTGAAGACCTCCCAATTAAGGACACAATCACAGCTTGCTACCCTCCATCCGGGCCAGCAGTTTGCTAGTGAACATCGGATTTAAAACTGCACATCTCACGCCCAGCCCTTCACAAGAAGCCAGGAGTCCCAGCACAGACCCTTAGAGGCAGACCCACACACACTACCAGTTCAAACACTCTTCACAGGTAAAGTCATCTGCCCCGCCCAACACAGCATTACCACAGAGAAAAGGAAGTAGGAAAGAAAAAGAAAAGAGAAGCAAGAAAAGGGAAGTGGAGAGACAGAGGTTGGCAGCTGGAAGCAGCCACACAGGCACTTTCCATCTTAGGCATCAGCAAGCCTTGCTGAGTACCTATGTCACCTGGGATCTGGATGATGAGACAGGTAGTCGGCCTATCCTAAAAGTATAAGGAAATCCCAGCAAGAATAACTGCCCTTCCCAAGGATCTGAGGATCCCACATCTCCAAGGGGACAGGCTGCCCAACTGAAGACTATGTTAGCACGACAAGTGAGTATCTCCCACACCGGAAACACTTGTGTAAAGACTCACTTTACAAGTCCCAGCACTGGGAACTTTAAAGAGCACGCCCTATGAAACCACACAGAGTACATTAGCCTCCTAGAATGCTGCAAAGGCACCAGGGGCTGAGACAGCTGCTGTGCGAACCCATAGTCCATTACAACAGGCACCCAGAAACCTAAACCAAACAGCACCATAGCACACTTGAAAGTAGCAGACTGTCACCTAAAAACATCAGCATGTTAACATGGCGATGCAAAAACAGATTTACACACAAACATGCATAGACCACACAAACCAAACACCCACACATATGTATCTACACGGTTTCCAAGTAAAGTCATATGAAACAATGCTGGTTTATAAAGGTGTCCCAGGATTTTCTAATACAAACTTTCTAACTCAGTGACCTACAAAGGACAAGTTACCTTGTTAACACAGGTTCAAAGACAGAACACAAGTTGTAACCCGCAAAAGCCAAAAATCTAGACAGTGAGTGTTCATGCATATAGGTGCATGAGCAACAAGCCCATAAGCATATACCATATTGCACATACGTCTATAAGCATACACAAAGTGAGTGTGAAATTAAGAGAAAGGTTGGGTTATTAGGTTTAAAATTTTTTACAAATTAATCCTAAGTAAAATAAAGTACAGGTAAAATATGGTTTTATTTACATTTTTAAAAACTCATGCTTGAAACTCATACCAAAGGCAAACACCGGCGGCAAATAAGCAGAAAAGTAAGTATTCTACCACACAACAGGAATGATTCTTAAACCCCTTCCTAAACACTGGGTATTTTCTTTAACATTTGTATACCCTGTCACCCATACCAGTTTCATTGCAGAGCTCTTCAGTGTAGGCAAGATATCAGTTGAAAACTATAACCTACTCTGGCTACATCTCCATTATGATTCTATTCCAGTCAATTTCATTGAGTTGCTGTCTTACGAAGAAAAAACTAAGAGCCATGGTGCACGAAACCAGAGATTCCATGCTATGCGATTCACCTTGCTAGTAGTAACTAAGACCCAGACCATGAAAGCTCCCTTCCCCCAACCAAACCCACAGGCAGCACTCTACAGCTTGGGGGCTCCTAGTGTGACGAATATCTATGTGCAAACATTGTGGCCACGGGCTCAAGGGCCACCTAGAATGCTAACTGGCAGGCAGGAAGTCTTCTCAAGTCATGATCCCATCTGAACGCCATCACTTCCAGGATCCGGCGGTGACCCTGAGGCCAGAGCGCTGCCTGAGTGGCCCTCGCTGCGTGCATCCTAGCACCTCCGCGGGTTCCCGCTCCCCTTCTCCTCCCCGGCACACCCGCGTACACTCGCACGCGATCGCGCACACTCGCTCGAGCATGCCGGAGCACACTAGCTCACACTCACGCTCCAGCGACGCGGCCCCTTTGCCCGCTCCACGCTCGTGAGTAGCTCCCAAGCTCGGCCACCGAAGCGTGTCGGGTCCGGGTCGCCCAGACTCCACTCCGAGGCTCCGCGAGGTCGCCGGAAGCCTGCCACCGCCTACCTTGGTCGCCGCGGTCCATGTCTGTGCCACCTCGCTCCCGGCGCTCCGCCTGCTGCGCTCCTCCGCGCCGCTCCGCCCGCGGCCGCCCCGCGCAGTCCCCACCCCGGGCGTTGGCACCGCCCTCCCGGGAGCCGGTCCCGGGCGTCACCGACCACCTGACCGCGACCTGTGCGCTCCGCCACGTCGGCGCGGGTGGCGGCGCTGGCCAGGAGCGCAGAAGGTCGGAAAAGGCCGGGGAGGGGCTGGGAAGAGAAGGGGACGCCGCCGAGGCTGTGCAAACAGCTGCAAGCCGGTGGCGTTTGCACTTCACCCCCAAGTTTGCTGCGCGGAAAGTTTCCTCCCAGGCTTCTGGCCTCGCGACTGCCCCTTTCTCCGCCCTTGTGCACCTGCTCGAGCGGAAAACACTGTTTGCAAGTCATCTGGGTAACTTAAATTAGTGTTCTTGAGCCATAGCCAATCGTACTTGACTCAGAATAAATTATTTATCTTGAAGTGATGTTTATACATGCACACACACACACTATATATATATATATATATATATATATATGTATATATATATTATTAAGGTAAATTTGGCATGGAAGGAAATTATATAATATGAAAAACAATTTGAACTGCATATGTCTGGGAGGGCGCAGATTAGTGTTAAAAGTGTATGCGTAGCATTTACGAAGATGGTACATTTGAGACCAGCATGAACTATATAACAAAATGCAAGATCCTGTCTCAAAGTTTTAAAAGAACTCATGCCTTATCCCTCATCCCTTGAAGAGTTTGCATACTCATTCATGTGTGTAATTTTTCTTGCTTGAGAACCCCATGACGCACAGCTGGAATACTACCCAGCCAGGCCCTTGTAGTAGGAGATATTTGGGGCTCTGTGTCTCAACTTGACACAAACTAGAGTCATGAGAGAGGAAGGAGCCTCCGCTAAGGAAATGCTTCCTTGAGATCCAGCTGTAAGACATTTTTTCATTCAGTGATCAAGGAGGTAGGGTGCAGTCTGTGGTGGTGGCACCATCCCTGGGCTGCTGCTGGTACTGGGTTCTATAAGAAAGCAAGCCAGTAACCAGCTCCCCTCCATGACCTCTGCATCGCTCCTGCCACTGGGATCCTGGCCTGTTTGAGTTCCTGCCCTGACTTCCTTCAGTGTTGAACAGCAATGCTAAGCAAAGTAAACCAATTCCTCCCCATCATGCTTTTTGGTCATAATGTTTCACAGCAATAAAAACCCTAACCAAGACAGGCTCAAAGAAACTGTTTAGAAAAGAAAAAAAAAAATAGACAGAGACCCTTTCTGGGCTACATGTAAAAGAAACAGAAATTTCAGCATTAGGGAAGCAGAAGAAGGAGGGACACAGTCTGGAGCCAGCCTGGGCTATTTGGGCTACCATGTATCAAAGATGGGGGTGTGGTGGCTGGTGTTTTCCCCTGTACCTAGAGGAGCAATGTGCATGGTGCAAATATGAGGATGTGGGTATGTCTATAAACTAAGCCATTGCTGAGATTTCTACAAGAAACAGTAGATTTTTTTCCAGAATATTAACAAACAAGTGTAAGAATTAAAGAGAGTAGAAAAGAAGTTAAAGACTGCAGGTATGGAATGGCTCACTTCGTAGGGTTTGGTTTGTTCCCTGGCCCTGTCATCAAAAAATAAAAATAAACATTATGCAAGTGAAATTTTGAAAATCTGAAAGCCATCAAAAATCAGACAAAATATAGAGACATCTGGATGCATTGTGCCGTGATGCCCCTGAAGCTTGGAGCAAGGGTACTACTGTCTTAGGGTTTCTATTGCTGTGAAGAGATACCATGACCACAGCAACTCTTTTTTTTTTTTTTGGTTTTTCGAGACAGGGTTTCTCTGTATTGTTTTGGAGGCTGTCCTGGAACTCGATCTGTAGACCAGGCTGGCCTCGAACTCACAGAGATCCGCCTGCCTCTGCCTCCCAAGTGCTGTGATTAAAGGCATGTGCCACCAACACCCGGCTCCACAGCAACTCTTACAAAGGAAAACTTTTTTTTTTTTTGGTTTTTCGAGACAGGGTTTCTCTGTGGCTTTGGAGGCTGTCCTGGAACTCACTTGGTAGTCCAGGCTGGCCTCGAACTCACAGAGATCCGCCTGCCTCTGCCTCCCGAGTGCTGGGATTAAAGGCATGCGCCACCAACGCCCGGCCCAAAGGAAAACATTTAATTGGGGCCAGCTTGCAGTTCAGAGGGTTAGTCCATTATCATCATGGTGGCAAACATGGCGGCATGCAGGAAGACGTGATCCTGGAGAAGGAGCTGAGAGTTCTACATGATCTGTAGGCAGCAGAAGTGAACTGCCACACTGGGGGTGGCTTGAGCATCTGAGACCCCCAAAGCCCTTGGCTAGCCACATTTCCTCCAACAAAGCCACACCTACTCCAACAAGGTCCCATGTCCTAATAGTGATACTCCCTATGAGCCTATAGAGGCCCTTTTTTGTTTTTTCAAATCACCACAGATACCAATAGAGGCTCTGTTCCCTTTTACTCCTGCATTAGACCATCAGCTGCCTCTTGACCATACTTCCAGCCCAGAGTGACCATCAAAAAGCTTATCCTGGAAATGAGGTCAAAAGCCCTGACAATGTATGCAGGCATTCCAAGGCAAAGGATTTAAGAGATGCATTCCTGTGGAAGGGTCTATAAAGAGGGAACAGGTATGAATAGGAGTATCTGTTTGGTAATGAGGCCTCCTTCCCCCAAAGGGACATCAGTAGTCATTTTCTAAAGCTAGGGCCCAGTGCTATGTCCTTCCAGTACCCTAAACCTAGAGTTTCCAGATAAAATAAAAGGCATCAATTTCAACGTGAATTTCAAGTAAATAATAAGTTTGTTCATTGGTTTAAGTGCTAGTATATCAGTCACAGTATTTGTGATATATTTTACTGAAAATATGTATTCATTATTCACCCAACATTTTTAGCCATCCTATATTTTTATTTGCTGAGTGCAACAACCCTAAGGCAGTTCTGACTTGCCGACTGGTCAAATGAGAAGCACATCAGAGCACAATTTTGGAAGTCATCATCATGCAGGAGAAAGACTGGCCTCCCCTGCTTGGACTGTAAAAGTTCAAGGAGCTGAAAGGTTAGGAGATCCAAGAAATCAAGATCAACTTTGGAGAGAAATCTATTTAATGTCACATAATTAACACTGAATTGCTTAAAGCAATACCACAGCTCTCTTATGTCCTCACAGGTGTGTAAAAGACGGTGAAGATGAAATGAAGACATTGAAAATGTGCAGAAATGGGTATTGGCAGGGAAGAGTACTTAACACTAATGGAATTCTGACATGCAATCCCTAAGTAGTAACAGGAAACGATCTCACAGCATTGATCTGGGCTATGTTAAGAAAAGCCATAGAGCACTTAACCCCTTGCATATTCTTAAGTCCCTCTGAATTCTGGGTATTTATCAGGCTACATTATGAGAGCTGAGAGGGGAAGGAAGCCCAGGAGAGACACAGCCAGTTTTCTTCTGAGGATTCACCATTGCTGTTATCAAGGTTCTCATTTTCCCATCCATCCTGAAGATGACCCAAGGATATGAATATCATCAGCTATTTTAGAATCAACAATAATATAATTAACAATTTTTTATTCTTTTGTTTCAGTGTTGGAAAGGAATCCAGGATGTTGCTCATGCTAGGCAAGGGATACTGGGAATGAACTACATGCCCAGACCTGACTTTGAGTCCGTGTCTTACAGACCATTTCATGGTTTCAGGACTAAAGGTTGGCTTTCGTAAGTATTAGTGTTCCTCCTGCACAAATAAGGTAGGAGGAACTCAAGTGCAGGACCAGGGCTGAAGATCCCAACCTATGCCACTACTCAAAGGCAATGCTTCCAGGCCAGACGCATAGCTGAATCAGCATCAAAGGCCATGACTTAAACCACCACTATCCTGGGCTTCTCACTGGAACTTCTCTGGTTCATTCTCCTCATCTCTAAAATCCACAGGCATGCTTTATGATAAAAACACCAAGTACCAAATGTATTTAAAAAGTATTCCTTTGACATGAAAGTTATATACCATTAAATTCACTCTTCGGAAAGCTCAGTGGTTTTAAGTATCTTCCCAATGTGTATCCATGCATAGTCCTCCCCAGCACTACCAAACTTACAGTAAGGTGATAAAACCACAAGGAAAAGAGAGTGCACAAATCTAAGTCATGATAATTGATCTCACAGAGCCAAGCAGGCAAGTGCTAATCTGGTAGTGGAGAAAGCCAAGAAGAACAGCATTTACATGACCATCAGGAGTGTGTAGGTACAAAAAGAGTTTGAAACTGGTGGATTAAACCAAGCATGATAGGAGCACTCAGGAGAAAGCAGCAGGAGGATCAGGAATTCAAAGTTATCCTTGGCTATCCAGGCTAGCCTAGGCTACATAAGGCTCTCAGGAACAAAAAAAGCAAAAGGATATATATATATAATTCCTCTCTTTCTCTCTCCTCTACCTTCATCTCTTTCTTTTTCTCTCCCTCTCTCTCTCCTTCTTCCCCCCAACAGACACACACACACACATAGACACATGCACAATCACACACACACACACAGAAAGAGAGAGAGAGAGGAGGAGGAGGAGGAGAAGAAGAAGAAGAAGAAGAAGAAGAAGAAGAAGAAGAAGAAGAAGAAGATGATGATGATGATGATGACGACGACCAGGGAATTTGTGGTTGGTTGAATGAGAATGGTCTCATAGGCTCATATATTGAAATCCTTGGTTCCCAGTTAGTGGAACCGTTTGGGAAAGATTAGGAAGTTTGGCCTTGTTGGGGGAGGTGTGTCACTGGGAGGGTGGACTTTGAGGTTTCAAAAGCCCACCTGAGGCCCAGTCTCCCTCCAGATCTGATGTAAGATCAGGTTAACCTTGGCTATATAGCATGGATGTCTACCTGCCACCGTGCTTCTCACCATGATAATCATAGACCAGCCCTCTGAAACTGTAAGCAAACTCCCAATTAAATGTTTGCTTTTATAAGTTGTCTTGGTTGCTATGGAGTCTCTTTTCACGGTCATAGGACAGTAACTAAGACAAGGTTCCTCTAGGGAAGAAATTGGACAATCCCTTTCCTCCAGTGAGCACAGAAACTTGTTAGCAACACACAATACTGGTGCTGAGATCCCCCCCCCACTCTGCTTGGTCCCAGAATGGATATTCAGTCCCATTTAGTCACTGCTAATGAAGGATTGAAAGAAGTGTACATCACTTGTGGGTTCAGGCAACCCAAGGGAAAGAAAAAGAGTTGAAAAGGTTGATTCAGACTAAACCAGGTCACTGTACTCCCAAGCCCATTGTCTAAGTCTCACCCATATAGTCTAAAAGACTGA